ATGAGAGGGGTGGCTATGATGGAGAAAGTAGGAAAATAGGAAAAAAAACACAGAAGTAGGTGTAGCAGAATCCATCACTAGGACTGCCAAGTGTCAATTGTCCAACTGCAGGGAGTCAAGATTGCTAAGAAACAGAGATGAAGGCCTTCAAAACATCTGAGGAAGCGAAATGCATCCATACATAACAAAGTATTTTGAATTTGTCAGAGGTGTCATTTTCAAAGGCTGTCAATAAATGTAGATATCCACTGTGAAAGGAGCGACATGCTGGGGAACTTCCAATAAGAAGGTATTACCTTTCTAGCAACTGAGAAAAAATGTCTCAACAAACTAAGTTTCTGAGATCTCACAGACCCCAGTAAGATACAACTTACTTTTACTGCTTTATCCAAACTAAAAGAAAAGTTAACTGTGTGTATGCGCACCTTGGAGAAATGATGTTTCAAAGGCAAAGGGTGGACACACCAAACATTGCTCTGATTTTGTTTTTTTCTGTTTATGCACTCCGCATGTGAAAAATAAAAAATAATAATTTCATTATTTTTACAGCATTTGTTTTTCAAAAGTGCCTAAAACCTCTGTTCAGTGCTAGAAATGGGCTATAACGTGTTTATAACACAATTTACAACAAACTGAACTATTTTATATACTTGTATGTCTACTGTATTTACTGTATATTATATTTTAAAAAGAAAACACACTTCCTTTAAAGAAAAGTAAAAAATAATTTACTGTGGGAAAACATCACAACCATTCCAATGTGTAGGCTGGCCAAACAAACATTTTTCTTCAGCTTAGCATTTTTCTTTGGCAAATTTACCAGTAGACTATTTTTCACACCACAATGCTTAAAATGCCTGGAATTAAAGAGTAGAGAAAAGGCAAATGTGGCAAATACATTTGGAAAATCTATACATTAAACTGTTTAACATTTAAAAACTGAACTGAATATTCCTGCTTTAATTATGTCCCATGTCTCTGATTGGTTTTTATCATGCTGCTTGTGTGTGTGTGTTAAGTGTGATGTGCAGAAAAACAGTATTGACACTTCTATTCAACTTCTTTTCTATAGGACTTACTGATGAGTCACCTCAAAAAGGCAATAATCCACTATTCTCGCCTGGAAGGTGCAAATGCAGCAAAGATTTACACACCTGAAGGAGCCTTGCAGAGGTTAGTTTTTGACTGTTATAGTACATGCCTTGTAAATTGCAACAAATTTGAAATGGAACTATGGACAAAATAAAAAGTTACATACAATATATCATGTAGTCTGTAAATAACATTAACTTAGCAGTTTTTGTTTTCCTAAGTTCCCCTTAAATATAGTGTTATCACCTGTTGATTGTGGTAGTAGATCATTTTTATATAATTTTTAAACTTCCTTTAATTGGCCAAGCTGTTGTGCAAAGGTGTCGAAGGGGTTCGGACAAATGCTGCCAGGGACGAACAGTGGTCTGCTTTTTTTACATATGATTTAAACCATGTTTTTCAGACAAATGCTGCCAGGGAGTAACAATGGTCTGCTTTTTTACATATGGTTTAGACTGAATATATTTTTATTAGAGATTTTCTGTTCTTGATACAAAAGTCCCAAAAAAAAAACAAGGAAGGAACAAATGACATGTAAAATAAGACACAGGTGCAGCCAGTACGTTAATGAAGTCAAGGTGTCACTAGCATATGTGGATAGACATACAGTGGGGCAAAAAAGTATTTAGTCAGCCACCAATTGTGCAAGTTCTCCCACTTAAAAAGATGAGAGAGGCCTGTAATTGGTATCATAGGTAGACCTCAACTATGAGAGACAAAATGAGAAAAAAAAAATCCAAACAATCACATTGGCTGATTTGGAAAGAATTTATTTGCAAATTATGGTGAAAAATAAGTATTTGGTCAATATCAAAAGTTCATCTCAATACTTTGTTATATATCCTTTGTTGGCAATGACAGAGGTCAAATGTTTCCTGTAAGTCTTCACAAGTTTGGCACACACTGTTGCTGGTATGTTGGCCCATTCCTCCATGCAGATCTCTTTTAGAGCAGTGATGTTTTGGGGCTGTCACTGGGCAACACGGGCTTTCAACTCCCTCCAAAAGGTTTTCTATGGGGTTGAGATCTGGAGACTGGCTAGGCCACTCCAGGACCTTGAAATGCTTCTTACGAAGCCACTCCTTCGTTGCCCGGGCAGTATGTTTGGGATCATTGTCATGTTGGAAGACCCAGCCACGTTTCATCTTCAATGCCCTTGCTGATGGAAGGAGGTTTGCACTCAAAATCTCATGATACATGGCCCCATTCATTCTGTCCTATACATGGATCAGTCGTCCTGGTCCCTTTGCGGAGAAACAGCCCCAAAGCATGATGTTGCCACCCCCATGCTTCACAGTAGGTATGGGTGTTCTTTGGATGCAACTCAGCATTCTCTCTCCTCCAAACACGACGAGTTGTGTTTCTACCAAATAGTTCTATTTTGGTTTCATCTGACCATATGACATTCTCCCAATCCTCTTCTGGATCATCCAAATGCTCTCTAGCAACACTTCAGATGGGCCCGGACATGTACTGGCTTAAGCAGGGGGACACGTCTGGCACTGCAGGATCTGATTCCCTGGCGGCGTAGTGTGTTACTAATGGTAGCCTTTGTTACGTTGGTCCCAGCTCTCTGCAGGTCATTCACTAGTTCCCCCCGTGTGGTCCTGGGATTTTTGCTCACCGTTCTTGTGATCATTTTGAACCCACAGGGTGAGATCTTGCGTGGAGCCCCAGATCGAGGGAGATTATCAGTGGTCTTGTATGTCTTCCATTTTCTAATTATTACTCCCACAGTTGATTTGTTCACACCAAGCTGCTTGCCTATTGCAGATTCAGTCTTCCCAGCCTGGTGCAGGTCTACAATTTTGTTTCTGGTGTCCTTCGACAGCTCTTTGGTCTTCACCATAGTGGAGTTTGGAGTGTGACTGTTTGAGGTTGTGGACAGGTGCCTTTTATACTGCTAACAAGTTCAAACAGGTGCCATTGATACAGGTAATGAGTGCAGGACAGAGGAGCCTCCTAAAGAAGAAGGTACAGGTCTGTGAGAGCGAGAAATCTTGCTTGTTTGTAGGTGACCAAATACGTATTTTCCACCATAATTTGAAAATTATTTCCAAATCAGCCAATGTGATTGTCTGGATTTGTTTTCTCATTTTGTCTCTCATAGTTGAGGCCTACCTATGATGCCAATTACAGGCCACTCTCATCTTTTTAAGTGGGAGAACTTGCACAATTGGCGGCTGACTAAATACTTTTTTGCCCCACTGTATACAACATGGAAAGACATACACAATAATGTGATGGGCAAGTCCATCCAACATCAAGACAAGAAAAAAGGATGTATAAAACACAACATCTACAGACAATTAGTCCCAATAACTCCTAAATAAACCAGAGCGAGAGAAGGAAAAGAGAAGTAATGATATAGGGAAGAAAAGAGAAAAAGAGGACAGCTACGTACAGAGACTCCCAGAAGAATAGGAGAGAGAGAAATAGTATGGGCAAGGAAGAGTACAAAGACGCACATGGACAGAGGGAAGATGGCATGAGATCCACTAGTTCAATTCCTTGACCTCATAGATAGAGGAGCCAACACCATAGGAGTTATTAAAGCAGATTTTGCAGGTGGAATATTGAGTCCAGACAGACCATAGGAAATTGAATTTCGGCTGCAAATCCATTTCAGAGGCCTGCATATCCTCCATTAACACAATATCATTTAAAATATCTACCCAGAGAGATATGGAAGAACTAGTGGTAGTCTTCCAAAATCTGGAAATAAGTTGGCATGCCGAAGAAAGGAAAAACCTTAAAAGATTAGTTTTTTGTGATTTCATAGAGCCAGGTAATATAGATAACACAATTTTGGGAGATGGAGTGATGGAGTCATCATAAATGTCAGAGTATATTTGAAAAATCTTAGACCAGAGCGAACTAATAATATCACAGTCCTACCACACATGTAAATACATTCCTCTCTCCCTGAGACAGTGCCAGCAGACATCTGAAGCAGAAAATACGATGTATGGAAACAGGATCCTGGTACCATCTAGAGAGCAATTTATATTTTTTTTTCCTGTATATAGTTTGATACAGGAGATTTATGGGTGAAAATAAACGCCTTCTGCCATTCACCAGGGGAAATCTCCACACCCAATTCCTCTACCCATACCCTAGAGTAAGTAGGTAGAGAAGTATGTGTGTGGGCCAGTATCAATTTATATACTCTAGAGAGGACATGGACAGGAAATTCGGCAAGAAGGTACATACTTTCAAAAGTCATCAGAGGCCTATTGTCAGGGCTCTGGGTATGACCAGAGGTATGTGAACTAACGCAGGCTTCAGATATGTTATAAACAATATAATTTATTAATACTAACAATACAAAACGCAGTGCAATACTAAAAGATAAACACAGTGCAAACAAACCAAACCACCCACAGATAACAATACATACAATGCAAGCGTAGTCAAGCAGGTCGGGTCAATAACAATCGGGCAGGTAGGAACAGGAGGAGCAGGCAGAGAGTAGTCAGGTCACGAGCCGGGTACAGCAACTAACGGGCAGGTAGGTACAGGGGGTCAGGCAGAGAATGGTCGGGGTCACAAGCCAAGGATCAAACAGGAGAAGTCAGCAGAGGTCAGGATCAAGCAGGGTCGGCAACAAGTCAGTCAGGCAGGAACAGGAATACAGGTAACAAGATACAGGGGCCCATGGAAAAACACACACCAAGGCACAGACTGCAGGTCTGGCCATCCCTTAAATACACCTGCAATCAGCCTCAGGTGTTTTGGCTGACTGCAGGGTTGAGTCTCTGATTGCTGAGAGCACCCGCTGGCCAGCCCTGGTACTGCAGCCCACAAGGCAGGTGAGTCCCACCATTATTGGCAAGTCCATTCCTGACAGTACCCCTCCATCAAGGAGCGGCCTCAGGACGCTCCAAACAGTCCTAGCTTGGCAAAATGTTCCACTGCCCGGGTCTGGTAACTGGCGGGATATCAAAGACTGGCACATCGTGTGGACTCCAGGCAGCGGCACATCGGGCTGGACTCCGGGCAGCGGCACATCGGGCTGGACTCGGGCAGCGGCACATCGGGCTGGACTCCAGGCAGAGGCACATCGCCCCCAGGAGGAGCGCAGGCACCGGGCCCCCAGGAGGAGCGGCAGGCACCGGGCCCCCAGGCGGAGCGGCAGGCGCCGGGCCCCTGGGCGGAGCGCCGGGCCCCCCCGGGCGGGGCGCTGGGCCCCCAGGCGGAGCGGCGGGCACCGGGTCGTCCGACACGACAGCGGGCATCAGGTCACCAGGCATCAGGTCATTTGGCTCGCCAGCGGGCACCGCGTCAGCTGGCAAGGCAGTGGGCACCGAGTCACCAGGCACAACAGTGGGTTCCGAGTCAACTGGCATGACCGCGGGCACTGGGTCAGACATTGGATCGTCTGGCTCGACAGCGGGCATCGGGTCCCCAGGTACCGGATCGTCTGGCTCGACAGCAGGCACCGGGTCATCTGGCGCTGGATCGTCTGGCTCGACAGCGGACATCGGGTCACCAGGCATGACAGCGGGCACTGGGTCATCAGGCATTGGATTGTCTGGCTCGACAGCGGGCATCGGGTCACCAGGTATGACAGTGGGCACTGGGTCATCAGGCGTGATAGGATCATCAGGCTGGATCAGTTCATCAGGCTGGGTACAGACATCAGGCTGGGTAGAGACATCAGGCTAAAGTGCGGGTGCCGAGGCACCAGGCTGAACCACGGAAGGCAGGTTCTCAGACGGCAGGCTCACCGGTTTGGATACTGGCAGGATGGTATTGGTTGGAAAGAATTTTCGCTTTTTTCTGGTTTTAACTACTGGAGCACTGCAAGTAAACGCAGGTCTGCAAACGAATGGAGCAGCTGAGGACAGAGAAGAGCTGGAAGATGGAACAGATGGGGGAGCAGTTGCTACAGAGGACTTCTTTACAGGGTTAAAGAAAGGATAGGTGCAGCGAGTGGGAGCAGGGGACTGGTATGTGGTAGTTAGCAGAGTATACTGGGCCGTCACTGGGGGTGCTGTCGGGGATGCAGGAAGAGTGCCTTGAGCAGAGGAATGACGTTGCAAGCTGACTGAGGCTGGGTGCAACAAGTCTGACCATGTCTGCAGTATGGGTTGAACAAAGCTGAGCTTACACAAAGCCTGTCTGGTCAAAGACTGCACTGCGTTTATACAACCCCTTAATACCTGTGGTGAACATGCAGCATAATGCTCCAAGAAGCAATCCACATCATCCTCTAATAACCATACCAGGGACTCTACCTGGTCTGCACTAAATGGTGGCAAAAAGTCATTCCTGCTTTCAGGGGTACCAGATGAAGCCAACTCTGCACAAACCTGAATCAAAGGTTGCACCTCAGAGAACTCTGTGCCCTGATCTACTAGAACATGAGCGATCCGTATACATTCTAGCAGTTGATCCCGGGTATACTCCCTCAGTGTCTGATAAGCATATTCTCTGTCATCAAAAACCAGCAGCGACAAATACACAACCTCATCAAGATCCATCCTTCCCAGCAACAAGCCAAGATGGCTTCCCTGTGCAGCCACTAATGGTCAGGATTGGCCTTGATGTAATGTCAGGGCTCCGGGTATGACCAGAGGTATGTGAACTGACGCAGGGAAACGCAGGCTTCAGATATGTTATAAACAATATAATTTATTAATACTAACAATACAAAACGCAGTGCAATACTAAAACATAAACACAGTGCAAACAAACCAAACCACCCACAGATAACAATACATACAATGCAAGCGTAGTCAAGCAGGCTGGGTCAATAACAATCGGGCAGGTAGGAACAGGAGGAGCAGGCAGAGATTAGTCAGGTCATGAGCCGGGTACAGCAACTAACGGGCAGGTAGGTACAGGGGGTCAGGCAGAGAATGGTCGGGGTCACAAGCCAAGGATCAAACAGGAGAAGTCAGCAGAGGTCAGGATCAAGCAGGGTCGGCAACAAGTCAGTCAGGCAGGAACAGGAATACAGGTAACAAGATACAGGGGCCCATGGAAAAACACACACCAAGGCACAGACTGCAGGTCTGGCCATCCCTTAAATACACCTGCAATCAGCCTCAGGTGTTTTGGCTGACTGCAGGGTTGAGTCTCTGATTGCTGAGAGCACCCGCTGGCCAGCCCTGGTACTGCAGCCCACAAGGCAGGTGAGTCCCACCATTATTGGCAAGTCCATTCCTGACACCTATGTACGTTTCCAGATGAATGAAGGAATTTGCAGTACGTGGATAGCTGGATCTTCGTTAACCAGTTGAAAGAAGATGGTAGGTGGGTAGAGGTATGCACAAAGAAGCCTGTAGAAGGATTAACAAAAGAGCAAGCAAATGGCCAAGAGGATATGTCATAGGAGCCGTATATGGAGGTATTTGTGCTATTAGGAAGCTTGGGGTTGTCAAAAAGGGGAGAAAGTGAACTCAGATCCGAGGACAGCGCTCAACTACCACATCGGAGGTACCAAACCCCAAGCACGGCTTCTGTCATGAGGAAGAGCATAGGGAATTTGCGATAAGAGCTGGAGTAACCCCAGGGTAGTGCTCGCAGATCCACTGGAGAAAGGTCTTCGATGATTACAGAAGCCTTGGTAAACGGGCAGGGAACCATTCTAATAGATGGGCCAGGAGTGCAGAGGCGTTATAAATTTAAAAATCTGGAAGACCGGCACCCCCTTTAGACTTGGGATGGCATAAAAGCTTATGTTTCAATCTGGAGTGGTGCCGGTGCCAGATAAATTGAATGGTGAGGGTGTGAAGGGCACTATAAAAATGCAGAATGTAATAGAATTGCAATGGTTTGAAATAGGTATAACAACTTAGGCAGAATGTTCATCTTCAAAATGTTCATGCGTCCAAACCAAGGCACAGGAAGATCTCTCTAAGTCTCCAGTGACCGGCATATTTTATTAAGGAGTGGACTAAAATTAAGATTATAGAAGTCTTGTAAATGGGCAGGAATCGCTGTACCCAAATATGTTATTGCCTTGGATTGCCATTTAAAGTGGGAATTCCGATTTAAGCATGGAAAGAGTATGTGAGATCAGAGAAAGATTCAAGGCCTCTATCTTAGTAAGATTCAATTCAAAATTACTAAAGCCACCTAACCGTTGAATTTCAGTTAGTATGGAGGGGATACTAATATGAGGTTGAGTAACGAATAATAAAAGGTCATCCGCATATAAGGAGAGCTTACAGTGCGGGGAAAGGGTATGAATACCCTGAATAGAGTTATTATTGCGTATTGCTTGGGCTAAATGCTCAATCACTATCACAAATAGTGGGGAAAGGGGGCAGCCCTGTCGTGTGCCATTAGAAATGTTAAACTGTTCAGATTGTATGCCATTAACTGACACAGTGGCTGAGGGTGTGGAATATAGGGACATAATACGGCGTAACATTTTTGGACCCACCCCAATTTGTACCAAAGCCTGTCAAAGAAAAGACCAGTTGACTGTGTCAAAAGCCTTTCCTGCATCACAAGAGAGAAGGCAGGTCGGGACCTGAGTTTTCTGTACCATAGAAATAAGGTGAATAGTTTTCGTAGTGTTGTCCCTGGCCTTCCGCCCGGGGACAAATCCAACCTGGTCTTTATGAATTATGTCAGGCAACAAAGGAAAAGGTGAGTCGCTAAGACCTTGGCAAAAAGTTTTAAGTCTATATTTAACCGCAAAATTGGCGTTATAGTTACTACAAAGGGACAGATTCTTCCCTGTTTCGGGATCACCACTATCTGAGCTTGAAGAAGTTGAGAGGAAAATGGGTGAAATAAATCTATGGCTTCAAATGCGGCAAATAAGAGGGGATATAACTGTGTGCGGCAAAAGCCCCATAGAAACTGGGGGTAAATCTGTCCGGACCCAGACTTTTCCCAATCTTAAGGCCCTGTATTGCACCCAAGATCTCCGCGACCTTAAAAGGAGCCTCGAGATCCTGGGTGTCAGTTGGAGAGAGAGTGGGTAACGCAGTTTCCTGAATGTAAGAAGATAGCTTGATATGATCCGGGGAGGCGGATACAGACTGTCATGGTGGTGGAAGATTGTAGAGTCCCGAATAATAATGCTGAAATTCAGAAGCAATCTCAGAGTTAGTATACAGTTTATGATTAGAAGAAGATAAGAGATGGGAGATTACATGTCTCAGTTGTCTAGGATGAATAACTCGAGATAAATGTCTACCACATTTATTCGCTTGGGTATAATGAAGATAACGTATTTTATCGTGGGCCACTAAGGAGTTAGACAGGGCCACTAGGGTATCAAGATTCAGGGTATGTTCATGGGTAGATTCTAAATCAGAGATTAATGTTAATAACTGGCGGATGTCAGACAAACGTTCTCATTTAAGTCTAGAACCATGCTGAATAAAGATGCCCCACAGGACACATTTGAGTGCCTCCCACTTAGTCTTGGGATGCATCTGGTCGGAAATGTGATCTTTAACAAAGTCAACAATGGCCTGGGAGATAGTGCCAAATCCTTTAAAAGATTATCATTTAGTCTCCAGGAAAATCTGAGTGGCATGGGCAGATGGCCAATAGCGAAATGTATACGGGCATGATCCGACCAGATCCTGAGGCCTATAGAGGAGGAAATATCGAAATCCAAGAGTGAATGCAAGACAAAAAGGTAATCTATCCTACTATAGGAGGCATGCGCTGCTGAGTAAAATGAGTAATCCTTCTCTGACGGATGTAAAGTGCGCCAGACATCTACTAAGGAAAGTTTGGAGAGCACAGTGCGAATCTTAGTTAAAACAGTGGGAGATGACAAAGACTTACCCGTAGAAGAATCTAATCTCGGGACCATGGGAACATTGAAATCCCCCCTACAATAAAGTTATGTGTAACAAGTGACTCCAGATGCTGCATCACTGAAGAGAGGAAAGATAGCTGCTCCTGGTTAGGGGAGTAAATGTTAACAAGTATGAAAATAGATTGCTGATATCTTAATTTCAAAATTATATACCGACCTTTAGGGTCCAGAAATGACTCCAACACTTCAGGGGTAAAAGAATAATGGAATGCAATAGACACACCTTTGGATTTAGCCAAGGGGTTAGTGCTGTGAAACCATGTAGTATAGAATTTATTTTGTATGGAGGGCACCTTGTCAGACCGGAAGTGAGTCTCTTGTAAAATTAAAATTTCGGAGTGGCTTTTATGAAAATGATAAAGGATTTGTCGCCTTTTTTCAGACTTATTAAAACCTCTGCAATTGAGAGAAGAAACTCTCAAAGACGATCGGGATGCCATAATCACATAATAGGGACAGGGCAGTGATGGGAATAGAATGCTCATGCCAGTACCCAGGAAGAAAGGAGAAAGAAGGGAGAGACGAAAAACAGGAGAAAAAAGGGAGCCAAAGAGGGGAAAGAGAAGGCGAAGGGATGTCGGCTCTAGTTGAATTTGTGATCCACTGGTTCCAGTTAGTGAAAAATCATCAATGACAATAATACAATAAAAAGAGAAGGGACCATTGATTAAAGTTGCGTATAATAACATGTAAGCCAACATAAATTAGTAACATGAGAAAAATTTGCCTATTAAAAGCCATAAAAAATTAGCAACAATATGTTAGGCCAAAAGGCCTGGAGGATGTGAAGCTAGACAAAAAAACAATTAGCAGAGCCAGTATGACTGCTGTAAACCCTACAGTGTGAGTCATGGGCAACACAGTTCGGGGAT